CCGATTGTGACCATGCTGCGGTTACTGAACCGTGGCATGATAGTATGGCTATATCAACGACTTTGAAATTATTTAAACTAATTATTGCTTGAAGTAAAATTTGGTCTCAAAGATTGTGAAAAAAAAAATTAATTATTTAATAATATACTCAAAGATATAAATGTATTAGTACAAGTTTTATTTTGACGATTGGGTAAATTTAAAAAACAAAATCAACAGTAATATATAAACAAACACACACACACACACATTTAAATAGAATGATTGATCGATTAGATATATTTTGAGTAAGACCAATAATACCAATTTCATAGTAATTTTGTTGACATAATTTAATAAAAAAAAATTACTCATTATAATTATAAAAAATATTTGATTAGTTTTGTTATCATCTCATGGATGTCGAAATGACTTATGATCATCAAGCAAAAACACTTAAAATATATAATATAATATGAAAATGATTATGTTTGAAACATATTAGATGAATGAATAATTTTAATATTAATAAACATTTATAAAATATAGTCAACTTAACCATGAATAATCTAAAATCTAATGAATATGTATTAATAAATTATTTTTTATGGTCGGGTAAAATTAATAATTATAATTTTCACATTAAAATATCTATATACATAAAAAATACTATTCAAGGTGTCAAAAAATAATAAAATTATTATATATCATTTTACGAAGAACAATTAGTAAATAATATTATATAGTCAAATAACAATTGAAATTATAAGATTTTACAGTCATTGGAATATATATAATTCTTAAATTTGTTGATTAATTAAATTATTATATATGTTGAGTTAAATGAATTAAATAAATAAGTATATACAAAAAATATTAAAATACAAAATAAAATGTTTACCATGAAAAAGTTATGTTGCATAAGAGATAAAAGTTACTAAAATTTAAAAGTTAATTATCATAAGTAAGTATTTGTTGCAATTAGAGTGATTATAAATAAAATTTAATTTTATGAATTAAACATTAGTCAGTTATCGAGCAATATGCAAAATATGAATTGCTAAAAAAATTATAAGATTAATATAATCAATAATTATATAAGTACATGCAAGTAATTGGTATACAATCATTATATTTTAAATATTACACTTTTATAATATTTTATAAACTAATAACTAATTAAATTCATTACTACGAAAATAAATTGGAAAAATAAAAAAGAAAATATTTAAATAAATATTATATTATTACAACTTGATATGTTGTGTCAGATATAATTGACATATTGTCTTAAATAATTTAACAAAAAAAATATATTGTATCTCGTGCAGCGCACGGGTAGCAACACCAGTCTTACAAAATTACAGATAACAAGTTCGTTTTTTTCTTAATATACATACACAAGGCATTTTTTTTTTTCTTTCTTCACTTGAAAAGTTCCATGGTGAAATTAATTAGTAATTATTAGTAGTAAAATTAATATATTTTTAGAGATTTTCGTTTATTCTTTCCATCTTCTTTAAAAAAAAAAAAATCTTCTTAGTTGATATAGAAAATGATACTATGTGATTGCACAATTCAATAACTTTGATATAGAAAATGATGTTATGTGATTGCACAATTCATTAACTTTTATAATAGTCATTAAACTATTAAAGGAGTCTATTGAAATCAACTAATTTTTTAGATGAAATTCAATTTATTTTTGTTATTTAGTTCTCTTAAATGTCAAAACTAGTAGTTTAATACTTTCCCAATGAAAATTTATTAAATTGTTATTGACTATTATATAGTCCAATGAATTTAATATACATACTTTTAAGTGGAGTAATAGTTTGGTCTTTACGTACCTCGATGCGATGCACGGGAAATAGATATTAAATAAGTTATTTTCACAACCTTGTCCATTTAAGTCTAAAAAGTAATAGAGTTATTATCTATTTTCTACTTTTTTTAATCAATCTAAAAAATAGTAGGGTTATAAGCTTTTTTTCCCATATTTTTTAACAAGTGCTTTTTTTAGCCAAAACATTAAATATGAGAATGTTAGGGTTAACTTGTAAAATAATTAATATTTTATCTCACTAAAATATTTCATATTAATAAAAATTTAATTTTAGCATATAAATTTATCCCTTGATATTAGAGAAAGTAACAGTTTTAATTATTCTTGTTCACCATATAATATTTAATTATTATTTTATTATATAATAAAAAAATACTATTAAATAGTGTAGTAGAATTGTTATAAAATTATATGAATTATTTTTTTTAATTATTATAAAGATAAATATAATTTATTTATTTCATATATACAATATTGATATCAAATCGAAGATCATCAAAAGATGATTAATTTAATATATTATATATGTAAAACCGATAAGAAATACAAAAGTTATCAACTTTTAAAATAAATTTACAATTTAATAGTTAATTGTAGGAAACAAATCAAAAAACATGGATATATTAGTCACTTAGTGACTCACTATCTAAAATTATAAAGATCTAAAGGGTTATATTAGTACAATTGATATTAAAATACCTAAGTTAGCTAAATAGTATTTATGGAATGCCCGAACCTAGATTATTAATTATTAATATATAATATTATTTTTCCAAACCTAACTATGAAGCATGATTCTTCGCCAAGTAAGATTCCGAAGCACCAGAAACAGCCACGTAGGCTCAGTGCATTCTGGAATAATATATAGGGAGGATTGCTCTGCTTTTATTTAACTTACCTTCTAAAAAAAAAAAAAAATTGAAAGCAACCAAAGAGCCCGAGAGAGCACTGAATTGAATAAAACAGGCAAGTATATAAATCAAGACAAGCACAAAAGATAATTAAACATCCATACAAAAGCTCAATCCTTGGGCAGGACCATGTCAAAGATAAGCTGTTTGGTGTAACAAATTCTTTATCTGGAATATTTAAATTTAAGCATTAACATCCTGCTTATAAACTACAAATAACACAGCAGCCAAACATTGCCCGTACACTCGCAAGTCGAATGAAACTACTTAAATCAACAATTGGCTGATAGCTCAATGGCGCCTTGAAGTTCTTGGTTTCTCCCTTTCAGATAGAATTTATTAGGGCATCCGTAAGAGCACTGGTTGACGTAAGAGATGCCTTCAAGATTCTTAAAGCCTGCATGAAAAAAGAACAAAATATTCCACCACGGAGCTAAGATTATTAAATAGAAACTTAACATAAGAAAGAAAAAATGTATTTAACCATATTACCTCATCGTGACCCACCACAAGGTCCACCTCATCTACATCAGATAAAGGGATTTTAAGCCGGCTTAGAATAGAGAAGCTGGAGGTAATGTTGAAAGGCGTGACTGTTAGATCATCAGTTACATTGTAGATTGAGTTTTGCTTTACAACTCTGGTTCCGTAGGGGAATCTAAAAAAAGAGGACGCATTCAGCAAGATGGGTTTCATTTCGATACATTCGTCATCGTCATATTTATTTTTGAAATATTTATCACCATCGATATTTGATATGCTTCTGTACAAACTGTCTATACAGTGGAGACCAGTATTATTGCCCAAGGCACGCTCAACGCATCCTAATGTGCTGAAGAGGAATTCAGAGAGAAAATTTACAAAATCACACCCAGCCTCAACAAACACTATCTTGTTTGTTGATTTCTGTATCATGGCTTTCACGGTCATGCTGGATTCTGATGGGTTTCTTTCCTTTACCTCGTGCTCAACTTGCAGTGATATTTTCTCTAGACACATAAAACTATCCCTTATGCATCGTTCGTTGCGCAAAATCAGGTCTGTCAGAGGAGTTTTGGAGAGTAAAGACCCCTCAAGTAAATCTATAATCTGATACAAGAATAGAGAAAAAAGTAAATGATATCAGAAAACCCAAGTTGATGAAAAATTGAGACTATGCTTGAGGTACTTGTAGCTTAAAAACAACAAAACTAACATTAGATATTCGAGAGCCAAAACAGTGGTTAACATTGCAAGCTACTTGAGATAAATTAGACAAATTAGAAAAGAAAAAAAGAAAAAAAAAAAAAGATTGCAATCCCTTTATGTTTAAACTTTAAAACAAGAGCTAATAAAAAACAACTACCACACTTGCATTAGTAAAACCATCTTAAAGAAAATGAGAAGTAAAGAAAATCAATTCGAAATTGGTTCGGTTGAAACCTCATTGTATCCGAGAGTCAAGGTCCTTAGCTCGGCCTGGTGTGTCTCTGTAATGCCAACATCTATTAAGCTTTGTAGAACAGTTCCTGGCAAAAAAGGCTCAATCTTCAGATCATCCGTAATTCTGAAACGGGCTGATTTTACCGTGAAACCTCCATCATCTGCAAAAGGATCGTCCATTGCCAGATCTGCACATCGAGGTCTGTTACTCGAGTTGTTAATCATGTTCGTCCGTGGCATGGTGTAACCAACTCGGAGCTTCAACTTATACTCTGCTGCGAGAGTGTGATCACCCTTAGTATCCCTCCACTCGTGGTAGTGCTGAAAAAAAGGAAATAACCCCTTGTGCAAAGTAGTTAAGCTCCCGATCACAGGTGCCTTTTTCCCGTTTTGCCGATTGAGAACCATCAAAATCCTTCCCAATGGCAGGGTCAGGAAGCTGAACAGAATATCTACGAGATCGCTGTCTGCTTCGGCAAATATTACTTTTCTGCTCTCTTTATCTATCAGAGCTGACAAAGAGAACGTGATTTCGTCCGACATCTTTCAATCCCAATAACGAAACTTTATGACTGACGAATGCAAGGGAGTCTGCACCCAATAGACAGGATTTTAGAATTTTAGAGGCCTACAGTAAGATTGTCTAAGTATGGTGGAAACTAGAGTCCCACTATCAACAACTAGCTCTAAGGAATTACAGAACAGGTTCTAAAGAATGTTCAAATTTAGGTTCATATAAAAAAGCTGTAATTTCACTTCGAATGCAACAAGATTTCATATAATTGTAACACAATACAGTAAAAGATAGATAACACAAGCAAGATTCGCGAGCCATTAATGCACAACGAATCAATTATCGCATACTAAGATTTGGGGGTTTTCTAGTTTCAGGGTTTCTGAAAGTACCTTATTTATGTGTAAATAAGATGGTGTGCCGAAATTCGGAAACCCGGCGGCGGCGGAGGACTGCGGACGTGTTAGCGGCGGCGGGGCATTCAAGAGAGGGAGAGACAGTGTGTGTATCGAGAGTCGAGACTCGAGTGATGAGTGTGGACCGGAGTGTATCGCTTTCACTTCTGCGAGTGAGTTGGTAGACAGCGGTTCTGTTCCGGGCTAACCTAACGGGTCAAGGATGACTTTCCATTTCTCCCCTTACATATAAGCAAAAATGTAAGGTGTTAGGAGCATGACACGTGTCCATTTTTTTAGGACCAAAATACCATTCAACTTGTGCTCTTTTTACAAATGAAGCCCCTGCATTGACCCACAAATTTTGGATGAAGCATGCTTTTTACCATACTTTTTTTTGGCTTTTTTGCTCAACAACATGAGCACTTCCCCATCAGGTTCCCATCAAAATTTTTGTTCACTCCCGTACGTTATTCACCACACAACATTCACAAACAATGAAAATTAAAATTAAAAAGGAAGATAAGAAGGAGAAATAGGGAAGAATTTCATGATTTTCTGTGTGGCTACTCAAATCCAGGTTCCGTTTCCAGCGACCTTGCTGGCGCCTTCTTCTTGTCCGGTGAGATCTCCAGGTGGCGATCGTGAGATTTTGCCAAAAAAGTAGGGTTTAACAAGGACTCCTTGAAGGATCCGATAGACAACTGCTTAAGCGGCTCCAAGGTTAATTACTGCAGTTTTGGGCCCAGGTTTATCGGTTGGTTGAACCTAGGCTTGTTCGTCGTCATCACCACCTACGAATTGGAACTGTAACGGATGCCCACCATTATTTTGAGATCGAGCAGGCTGAGAACTATGCCTTTATGCTCAAGGTTCGATTACTTGGTCCTTTGAATGGGATGATAAATGCTTTTTCAGTTTAGGATCTGTTACTAATTGTTTACATTGTGCACCGAAAACTACCGTTGTTAAAATTTTCTTCTTAGGATTGTAATTTTTACTCAATTATATTTAACTATGTCGATTATCCAGGCCTTAAATGTTGTGTTGTCGTCTATGCGAGGAAGATTTTCTCCAATTACTGTTTGTCAACTAAAGTATATCCACTTTTCAGAGTTTATCAATTGTGTTGTAGATGGAGATTGGCAGTTTGATGGGGTTGTTCGAAAGAGGATTGGAGCTAAACTGCAACATTTAATGAGGTACTTATGAGACTAAAAACTGATGGAAAGTGGATTCTAACACGTACAAATGTGCTCAGACGACATTCTTAATGCTCGGAGAACTAAAAGCTGTTTTGTTTTGCTTAAAACATGGATGATGTTTTAGTTAACATTCGCTTCACCTTGTTTATTGTTTTTTGGGAGTCTAGGTACAAAACCTGCTAGATCTTATGTTCATTTTGTTTGAAAAATACTACTTATGTGAAAGGTATTAGGTATATTGAGTATTGTCCTACTATCTTAACATTCTAGGATTAGTTTTCGCTTAGGAAAATCATTTGTTTATGTTTATCCTTTCCAAATGGGCCCTCCAAGGCTATTGTAACCATCTACTCTGCGAAACGACATTGTTTCGTTGGGCCATTCAATATAGAAGAATTAAAAGAATTCAGTTTATGAAACGGAAAAAAAAAAAAAAAAAACAACACACATATTGGAGGGTCCATTTTGCAAAGCCAACAAGATTACACAACATGATTTTCATGTATTTAACGGGAAATGTACCAAAAAGATCTTTATATGGAACTCAAAGGAAGAAGTATTAACAAGTGTATTGTATATATGGTTGCGATACAAATGAGATGAATAAACTTTTAGACTTTGATCACATTTTTTTAGATCTAGCTTTTGTGATTTGTTCATTGTTTGCTATATTACCACTTGTTTTTTATATGCTTTTGTTTTCTCCTTGTTCTATGCCATGGAAAGATCTTTTTGTGTTCTCATATAAATTATGAGATTGAAATCAGATGCATCTAAGACTTAAATCTTGTTGGCTTCCATCAATGTATAGCTAATTGATCTAATTATAGGAAGCAATGGGCATGAAATTCAAGAAAGAACAAAGATTAATTCTTTCAAATCTTACTTCTTTTGTTCCGTTTCCTCTCTCTCTTCTCATTTTTTTTAGATTTAGTGTTGTCGACCTTTGCGGCCTTCTTACCTTCATCGCTGGAAGGGCTCTCGAACGGTGGCCACTGCTGGAGGATGATGAGGTGGGCCTGGCTGCAAACATATGCCCAAACGGGTAATAAGGGTAGGATGGCACAATGTGATTATACTGAGGCCTCATCATTCGGGAACTTGCACTCTTTAGATTAAAATAGGTAGATGTTGATGACTGATTAGAAGCACTTCATTATTAATTAATTATTATTATTATTATTATTATTATTATTATTATTATTATTATTATTATGCTTGGGACTAAACAGCTATGTTGTTGTTGTTTTTATTTATTTATTTATTTATTTTTTGGTTTTTGTGGGAATTATAGAAATGGTTGTGGGGTTGTTGGGAACAAAAAAGTGGAACAAGTTTGTATTCAACAAGGATTGGCGGCAAATGCACGTGTCTGGTGCCGTTAGCCGATATTTGGGATCGATACATCTGGGCGAAGAATCACCCAGGGGCCGGTGCAGAACATCATCGATCGGGAGATGCTCAAGTGGCTATGAGTAGAAAACCTATGGACACTTATACCTGTAGATCACATTAATTGTTCCATAAGTTGTGAATGAGCAGAAATCACAATGTTACTGTTGACGGGATATAGTGGTTTGCAATCACATGATATTATTATCAATTTTAGTTTATAATTTATCGTGCAAATTGCAAAGTATGTTGTTGTGTGTGAACTTTTGTGGACATTCTTCTTAAAACTTTACAAATCATTTTAGATGATATGATCAAGTCTAATCTAAAGTGTTGTTATAAAGTTAAGTATGATTCATTACCTTGGTTTTTTGCTGTAGAGTCCAATGAGGCTAGGAGGACCCTTGAAGCTGCAATAAAGTATGTCTTCCCCTCATTAAGCCCATGTAACATCTGATGATAGGTATCCAGCTGAACTCATTGTGTTTTGTATGTGCAGGTATAGGAACATAGGAAATTGTTCACAGAGAAGGTTATTCAAGCACTGGACGTTTACCAAGAACGGATATTATTTAGATCATGGAAGCAACTCCTGGCACACCAAATGCCTAGAAGATCATTTTTATGTTAACAAATACAATGTGTGGGTTGACCAAGAAGCGCAGAAGGAGAATAAGCATTGAGAGTTTATCTTATAACTAGGTTTTCGTACTCTCTTTTTGTATATTGAAGGGGAAGCTTTTATTTGCATAGAAATCCTTCTAACATGTACCATTATGTAACTGTGACATTTAGATGCACGATATCAACTCTGATTAGTGGGTGCTAGGTATTTGTGCTGATTACTTTTATGTAATAATAATGTTGTGATATCTTATTATTCTTTTATTATGCTTTAGACATAATTGGACACTAAAATATATTGCACAAGATTCTTTTTGGTTGCTTGAAGATTTAGATAGTGGAGGGAGGAGAAAGGCCAAGCATGCCTAAGAAAGTGATACACCTTACAAAATGAACAAACCATAACAATGAGGGGCCAGTGCAGACTGATCAATGCTTATATGGGTGTTCGTAGGCTGCATAGGCGGCGGGAAGACAACGTGCAGCTCGATCTTGGTCATCCTATCTGCGAGCGTGCCCTCTCGAGGTATGCCTTTTGAGATTATAATTCAGTACATAGGCCTTTTCAGATGCTCTTGAAGAAATTGATCCTGAGGTTTTCTTTTTTTCTTTTCTTTTTTTTTTTGGTAATGATCCTGAGGTTTTCTGATTATACAATAATTCGTATGAAACTTTGGAAATGTGAATGGGTTTATATTGATTTGTATCATATATTCGAATCGTTTATATTAACAGTAACTTCATGATAAATTTGTGCTTCTTGTATATTGTTGGAATGTGTGAGCTTTGTAGTATTTGGGAGTTTAGAATTCTGAAGTTTGGTACTTTGTTTTCTACAAGTTTTAAGATGATAATTTCATGTTTTAACTCATTTAGTTTTCTAACATTTTTTTTACCTCGTGTGAATTTTAATTATTTGTATCCACTTAAAATTATCCATAATTTACTTTGTATGAATGTACTTGTTAGTACAAAACCTCATTTCTTAATTTTAAACATTATTTAAACCATTCTTGAGTGCATGTTGATGGAGTAGCGCTTCTGATAAGCCTCACAACTATACAGTTTTGAGTTGCTTTACTCAGTTCTCAGTTATGGTCAAGCTTAAGATGGATCTTAGGGTATGACAAAAAAATTACTTCATGTGTCTATTTTCTCAACTTACCTTGCATTATGAACTTTTGTGAAGCTACTTAAAACTTTACCATGAATTTTGCAGTTATAACAAAAGAGTGGGATTTCTTTCCTTTGAGGGAATACAATGACTACTAGAAGGAAGTCGAGGACATGAGTAAGTATACTGCATGTGTTTTATGAACGTGCACTCTTGCATCACCTTTTAAGTTGAAGAAAAGTTAAGTGTTTGCTTCCAGTAGTTAATTTAGTCGATGGAGAGATATTCCTGCTATTGAAGCAAGGATTGCCGAATACCAGATAGAAAATGCAGGCCAGATAATGAATGCTCAAGCCCACAAGGTCCTTGATTTCTTTATTTCATTATAAATAAAATTGCTCACATTATTTTTTCTGCCTGTGAGTTTACTTCTTAGTATTCTTAGTTGTTTTTGTTTTTTATGAGCTCTTAATCTGCTTTGTTTGTGATTAAATATGATGAAAAATATTCAGCTGCTTTGGCAGCAAGCAAGAGTCAACTTCTGCAAATCGTTGTTGATATTGTAAGTCAATCTTATGGCTATTATTTTATAAATAATTCTAATTGACCATATTATTTTTAATTACTGAAATATTCATCTGATGGAAGGGTACACGACGGCGGATGAGGTGTACTATTATTCATGTTTAACTTTGCCAAAATTGTGTGATTTCAAGTTATTGTGGCAAAATTATCATTTAACGAGGAAAGGAGTAAGACTGACTCAAACTTACATATTGTCATACCTAATAGTGAATCAGGTTGTGCTTTTACTACTATTATGTCGTCACTTGAATAAAATATTTGATTACTACATCTCAACTGTCTAATCTCAATGCTATTATATCAATGATCATAAAGATGTGAGTAACAACTAACAATCATGTGGTGGTATAAATACGTGGCTTTATTTTTGTGCATTGTTTCACACAGTAAAGCGTCTGTTGTTTTCCCGGGTCAAGGTTGTCATTATTGAGGGCGACCTTTCAAATACTATGGCGATGGGGAGAGGAAAAAGTCTTCCGCCGGCAAGTCGTCGCCATTGTTAACCTCACCACAAGAAAGACTCAGTGTGGGGTTCAAGGTAAAAATTACATGTAATAAATTAGTCTTTTGTATTTGTTTGCATTTTTTTAGGTAATTAGTATGACATTTCTCTTTGCATGATATCAAATTGTGTTATAATTGCATTTCTGTGTATTGTTTGTACCTTGTGATCGTGACTATAGTGTGAAGTGATTTTCCTTCGATGCGTATAGGATTTTTTTTTTTTTTTTTTTAACAATTGGAAAATATATTTATTACTCAGTTTTGCCTTATTTAATTGTGATTTAAAATTTTCCTTGCAAATTGTAATAATGAAAGATGGATAAGTGAAGAAATCCTACTCGATGTCCCTAGATCACCTCTAGATTGTTCCCCGTAGGGAAACATCGTTACACTAAACCTTGTTCGCCATAGAACGAGTCGCACATGATTGTTTAAATCAAACAAGACTGGAAAAACATAAGGTGCGTGTTTCCCCTGCAACCTTATTGTTATTGGAAAAAGCATGATTTAGTTAACCACTTTTTAAGTAAGGAGCAATTGACTGAAGCTGGTGTTTGTTTTCTGTTTGGCATGTTGTTTCTTTCTTTTTCCTTTTAAACATACTACAGGATTATTGTATATATTTCATAATTTCAATTTATTAGTGCTGTTGTTTTGTATTAAATGACCCATACCAAATTCACCTGCTGACAACAAGTGCTACGATTCGGTCTATAGTTCCTGGACAAGAAACTATGCTCTGCCATGGCACACGCTGCCTGATTTTACATTGCTCTTGAAAGAAGATTACATTTTTTATGAATTTTGTCACTATTTGTCTTTTTCTGACATGAATTCGTGCGCACGTGTTTTGATTCTTTGATGAATCGATTTGATTTTATAATGAAGGCCAACTGTATCTTTGAAATCGTTAGCCTTTGAAATTTACACTGTCTATGTACAACTGAAAGCATAATTATAATGTGTTCACTGTTGCTCATCATTTTAGCACTATCCCATTTGGATAAGGTTGGAATAGCAAATTGCTGAGGGGCAGCCCAAAACACACAAACCTTGGAAAAAGATATTGGTGGTGGTGGTGGATGGGCTCCATAGTGTGGAAGGATAACTTGGCATGCTGCCCAATTGTTTCGATATGCAAGAAATACAGGGCGTATATACATGGTAAGGCTATTTCCCCCTTATGGTTGATAAGCACTATCATATAATAATGTTTTGTACGAAACTAAGATTGAGTTTGGAAAACCATAGTTTTATGGAAAAACTATTAAGATTTCTTTTTACTGTTGTATTTCTCAAGAATTCATCTATTGTGTTGCGCTGGTTGTTATTCTTTTTCGTCAATTTTATAGAGGGAGACCCGGCTAGATGGCGAATCTGTGAGAGTGATCTTCCTATATACAAAAAAGGAAATGAATAGCAAGGCAGTTTTCGTATATAGGAAGAGCACTCTCAAGCTATGTATGCTTTCATTTTCTCGAGTTTTATGATTGATAATGTGATGTATAATGCTCCCAGTAGCAAATTGATGATTGGACATTTTTTCTAGAGAAAAGTGCTACAGAAATTTTCTTGCACAGGTGGTTAGAAAAAGTTAGTGTTTGGCGATTAGAATATACTCAAATTGTATACTTAATTGTGAATGAAAATTGAGCCCAATTGCGCGGGTTACCAACTGCTCAGATTTTACACATAATTACACATTAGATTGAGTATTTTATCATGTTGTGGGGCTACTACCATTACAATGGATTCATATTAAGTGATTTCAATGTACTTTTAGAAATGTTGACAAACGTATGTATGTCTACTCTTCGAGAATGACAAATATATATATAATGTTGGATCCATTTTAAGCAACAATTTTATAGTGTCGACGACTCCATAATGTAAGCGCGATTTAAGGAAAAACCAGCTCAATAAACCTCACCACTCAGCAAATCGTGTATTTGTTTGAGATTGTGAATGATATTTTTTTTTGAATAATCTTTTTAAATTTTTTTATATTTAATTTTTTAGTGGGGGTTGCAGAAGTAAAATATTGTCAAATGCTTTTATTCTTGCTTTCTCTCTGGCAAATGGGCACCAATTTAGGCGAAATAAATTTTGTCTGTCAACACGGCCGTTGCTAGGATTGAATCTTATGTTGCTGTAAAACCATATAACAATTATATGTAGTGCTATACTTGAGACATTCGTGTGGTTTTTATTTTATATATTGAAAGATTGTAAATTACTTTATTATCTACAAAATAGACCGTTCAATTATAACGTGTATTTTGGGATATGTGTGTTTAGTGTTTAATCAATAACGCTCAACACTTGTTTGAAAATGAGTGGAAAAAAATGACAATAATATAACAAAGAATCTCCAGACAGTGTGAACTGAATAGGCATAATATATGCCAACAACTGCAAAAAAAAAAAAAAAAAAAANNNAAAAAAAAAAAAAAGCAAAAATAAGACCAGCAACACATGATGACAAGTTTTGTTATGTATTTTTAGATCTAATTTTAGTCTATCGTGAAAAATATGACAAAATTTAACGCGAAATATGAACTACACAGACTAAATTTGAGTCGGTTGTGTGTATTTTTTCTTACATTTATACTTGCAAAAAAATAGGTATGTGTATTTTTAAATACTGACAAATATTGGTTATAATTATAGACTGAACTAGAGCCGGCTGTGCGTGCACAGCCATCCTGCCAACTAGTAATAAACTAAACGAAAAACTAGTTTTTACTGTTTACCTGAGATATTGAGTGTATGATATTGCTAAAAAAAAAAAAAAAAAAAATAAAATGTTTGGCAAAAAATTAGCTAAAAATATTTAGTTTTTTTTTTTTTTTTTTTTTAAATCTACAGATGAAGTTTTTAAAAAGTTGGTTTTATTAAACCAATATTAAATTTATAAATTAAAAGCTTGTTTGCAATTGAAGAATTTAATCTCTTGCCCAAACATTATAATGTTCAAGTTCAACAAAGGAAAAAATTGAGCTGAACGTGCAATTCGGTACAATTCGGTTCAATTTTTTAATGAAAAAAATTTTCGGTTTGATTTTTTGCTACATTCCACTTCGGTTATTGTGTTACTCATCTATGAAAAAAAAAGCTGTGAGAAAAAAGCTCCTTTTCCCATATTAAAGTCATTAACGGAAAAAAAAAAAATAAAAAATCTAAAGAAAATGGAGAATGAAGAATCGGTTTCAAGGTGCAAAGAGAGGCGGAATCCTTTTGCTTCTTTTTTTTTTTTTTTTTTTTTTTCATGGAATTAAGACAGCAGGAAGTTAAAATATCATATAAAAATAGCCAGCATAATTTGAACTTGCATTGCATTATCAATAGTTGTCAATGTGTATTGCATCCATAAAAGTTAAGTAGATTGATCTCAAATATTGCCCATAAGTTGACGCACAGGTTACAAAACAGTAATACGAAATTACGAAGAGTAAAGACCATGAAAACAATCTGCACGACCCATCAGCTGATCTTATATCTCATTTGCCTCTTGCTTAGGTTGTTTCATTAAAACTGGATTGAAGAGGCCATCGGTTAAGGCACAAGCTGAAGTAAGAGATGCTTTCAGTATGCTCTTAGCCTGCAATAAACACAAAAACGAATATCTCACTATAAATCAGAACAAAAGAGTGTATTCAATGTCAGATGTTTCTCTAACAGAACATGAACACTAACCTCTTCTAAGCCAACAAGAAGCTTCATTTCCTTGACATCGGAAAATGGGATTTTCAGGCTATTGAGAATGGAAATTCCCGAGGTGGTAGACAAGGGCGTTACAGTTAAATCGTCCATCACCATATACATGCTTTTCCCTTCAAAATATTTTGGCCGCCATTTTGGAAAACTCGATATAGAAGCTCCTGAACCATAAGCGTTTGTAAAATTAGGTCTGAGTAGATCGTATGTCATATTGAAGAGTTTGTCACGTTGTATATTCTCTACGGTTTTGTACAAATTGTCTATATTCTTAAGATAAGTGTCACCGCCCAGTAAGCACTCGACCACTCCCAGGGGAAGTGCAAGCAGGCCAAATAGGAAATCTACAAAATCATCATCAGCCTCGACAAACAGTAGCTTATTAGTTGATTCTTGAAAAATGGCTTTCACTGTCATTTTCTCAACCTTACAACTTTCTGTCTGTTGATTGCCAATTGTCTCACACTTCACCGCAATATTGTCAATCGTCTTTTTTCCAAGAATGAGTTCCGTAAGTGGAGACTGGGAAAATAACAACCCCCTCAGCAAATCCATTATCTGAAAAATAGATGCGTTAACATAATTGAAGGCTCATAAATATGATATTAAAGAAAAAAGAAATTGAAACTAGTTCACAAACCTCATCGAATCCAAAAGTCAGATTCCTTTCCTCGATCCCGACTGTATCCGTAATGCCTGAGTTGCGGAAAATTTGCACAGCAGAACCCATCACACCATGCAATACTTGTAGATCATCAGTGATGATTAAGGTTGATTTACTTTTAATGAACACCCCATCTTTAGCATCCAAACCTGTTGGTTGCGTGCCATAAACATTGATTTTCAGTCTACAACATTTCTCCAAAGATGGGTTTATCGGGTTGAGCAGCAGGTTCTTAAAGCCCGGTATATTAAAAAGGCCACTGTCCAAATTGTGCAAGCCAGTGTACAAAGTGGTTAAGCTTCCCAAAACAGGGACCACATCCCCATAGTGTTTTTTCAAGACTTTAACAATAGTTCCCAACGGCAGTGTAAGGAAGCTCAACAGGACATCAGTGAAATCGCTATCGGTTTCGACGTATAGAACCTTAGTTTTTTGCTTGTTTATCATGGCTTTCAAGTTGAACCTGAAGTTCTTGGGGTCAGACATTGTGTAGGCAGTTTTGTGTGCAATTGAAGAAAAGGGAAAAAGAAGGATCGATGAGTAGCAATGTCAAGATTGTGTAGTTGGCCTCTTGTTTTTATAAGCACCAAAATAATAATCAACAGTTGCTCGAAAACTGGGCATGGTCATCCAAGATTTTCACCAAATTCTGCTTCAAAATATGCACAACAGTTAATGAAAAAATGAAGTCCCTGTTGACTGAGCATTTGTGAAGAAAACAGAGACGAATCTAGAAATTAAGAATATACTGGGCTAGAATTTTACATACTCATTTTTCATAAAAAAAATCGCATAAGAAATGAACTCGCACCAAATACGATCAACCGTTCTATACTCATGATCAACTTTTAAAAAATGAACTCGCACCAAATAAATTGTCTACGAAAAGTGCGAAATCTATAAAAGAAAATCCCTTATACCAATTAAACCAGAAATAAGAAATCTCTCAAGATGGCTCTTAGTATAATTGAATCTTCATCTTAACTTCAAACATTCTATTCAGAACTAATATTCACTTCCCCAATAATTTCTACATTCACTTCAAAAACGAAAATAAAAATAAAAAAATGGCGACAGAAATGAAACTTGAACAAATATCATAAAATATACAAAAAAAATGACATTGGTAGACACCATATCTTTGATAAATAGATATGTCTACAAATGATATTGGCATATTGCTACATATATTAGAATAAACACTGAAACAAAAGTGATATTACTAGACATATTTAGAAAAAACTGAAACAATAACATGATAATTAAAACAAAAAATACTCTGGTTCATAAACTAATCCAATGTAGGCGCATCTGAGTGTACAAGCTAAACAAAATTTGAAGCAAATGCTAGATCTCAACACCCAATTGCTCAAAATCCAAAAAAAAAAAAAAAAAAAAAAA